TAGGTTCGCAGCCGAGTGTGAAGCGGCTGGGATGAGGATCAGCACCTCCAAATCTGAGACCATGGTTCTCGACCGGAAAAGGGTGGCTTGCCAACTCTGGGTCCTACCTCAAGTGAACGAGTTTAAGTATCTCGGGGTCTTGTTCACGAGTGAGGGTAGGAGGGATCGGGAGATCGACAGGCGGATTGGTTCGGCGTCTGCAGTGATGCGGACGCTGAGCCGATCTGTCGTGGTGAAGAAGGAGCTGAGCCAGAAAACCAGGCTCTCGATTTACCGGTCGATCTACGTCCCAGTCCTCACCTATGGTCATAAGCTTTGGGTAATGACCGAAAGAACGAGATCGCGGATACAAGCGGCCGAAATGAGCTTCCTCTTTTCCTCTTGCTCTTAAACAGCATCATTTTATTATATAACTGGTACTTGTCCTGAATAAAAACCAACTGTCAGTTTTTCTGACTCACACTGAAGTGAGATCATCTGTACAAGCTCAGTTTGTTGAGTCATTCCTGAATAATTACCTGATGATCACAAGGAAGGATTTACACATTTGTGAAGAGTCTTTAAAATAATCTAATGTTACTAAATAATCTGATTATTGTTTTTATAAGTGGCCTGCAGAGAATATTCAGAATGTTCTCCACCTTAAAGCTGCTGGCTGGAGTTTTCCCCTTTCAGGAATTATGTACAATCTATCAGAATTCCATAAAAGTGATGGTCTGTGAGATAATTTAGAAAATACTTATTGTTTTTGCTAAGCCCACCCACTGTTCCTTAGAGCTCCAAGAATGAGGTCAGCTGATCAATCAATCAATCAAACTTTATTTGTAAACCGCCTTCCAATGCCTTTACGGGAGCTCAATGTGCTGAACATAAAATACCATTAAAAAAGTAAAAGAACAGGCAGAAAACAAAACTGTTCAAATGGATAAAACTGAATAAAATCACATAAAAGCCAAACGAAAAAAGTGAGTCTTCAGGCGACCTTTAAAAACCTGCACTGATGTTGACTGTTTGACAGCAAGTGGTAAGTCATTCCACAACGCAGACACATCAGAGCCTGACTTTTCAAAATTGACTGTATCACTGTTTCTTTCATCGATGTTGGAAATTCACTTGTGCTTAAGCCACAATTTATAATGGTTAATATAAATGGACCCAATGAGGAAAATGCCTCTTTATAGAGACAAGGTGGCAAAACATCAAGGGGAGAGCCTGCCGGTTTTTGATTTGAGGCAAATCTTTCCAACGCAGTAATATAAACTATTTCAAAACTTGTCAATGTAGCTTGGGGCTAGCCTGGCAAGCCAGACTAAATAAATGTATTATTTAGTCTGGCCATGCTCCATTGACGGCTCTCGGTTGTGGGGCGGGATCTACCGTTGTGTTTCAAATGATCTCCGCATTCCACTGGACAATGAATGTGACATACTCTTGTTTCACTCTGTTGCATCATCCCACCCACCAGGCATATAGAGTGCCCTGATTGGCCCACAAAGTGGATAAAGTTCTGTGATTTGTTCACTAAGCAGATAGAGCACTATGATTGGCCCACCATTATGGACCAATCACAGCTCTTTATGTGTTTGAAACTCCTCTAGAGAGCTTTGATTGGCTAGCCAGAGTCCTGGTAGGAGCTGCTGAGGTTCCAATGGAGCATGCCTAGACCAAACTTTGCAAAGCAAGAATTTGGTCTAGTTCACTAGGCTAGGGTGGGGCAGGACTGGAAGCACAGATCATGAAACACGACCTGCAAGTAAAGCTCTAATAGCAGGGACCTTTTCAACAAAATACCAGTGAAAATCATTGCAATCGCCTGCCAGAGAAGGAGTTGGACCAGATGTTCGACGTTCCGACACATAATTCTAAGTATTTAAAAGAAACTTTGGATTATTTAAATTTGCTGCAATGATATCTGCCAAATAACTTATCCTAGCCTCCTTCACAGCATCCTGATATGCAAATAAGGACACCCTGAAGATCTCACGAGAGACCTGCAAACCATCCCTCTTCCACTTTCTTTCTCAGACCCACATGCTCGCCTGCAAGCCCTAGTAGCATCAGAGAGCTGAGGCTCCTTTGCACATCTAGGGTTCCTAACCTTAGGGGGAGCAATCACATCCAGTATATTTTTACAGAGCAGATCAAACTGATAAGAATAATCCTCAATGTTTGGAGATATTAGTTTCAATCTGATAAAAGTCTTATAAACTCAACAACCCTCTCCGCATTTCGAACGCGGCAGCTTTTAGTCTGGACATCCCTCACAGCAGGAGGGCAGGGCAAAATCAAATCCCACAAAACTGGTGAGTGATCAGAAAACACAGGAGGGACAATCTCAACATTAACAACAGGAAAACCATAAGAAAAAACAGCACCAGAATATGCCCCTTAATATGGGTAGGAGCCATCACCCATTGTGTCAGAATAAAAGATCCCAGCATGTTCAAAAAGTCTCTAGCTAAAGGTTTTTCAGGACAGCATACATGTATATTAAAATCACCAAGAAATAAAATGTGATCATACTTCAACAGGCTGTCTGCCATTAAATCCGAAAAATCCTTTAAAAAGACAGTCATACTTTGGTGGGCGATCACGCCCACGAGCAGTTGAGGAGATGGGCCAAGTTCAAACATACACAGCTCAAAGGAGGTAGGTAATACTAAAGGAACGAGTTGTCTACAGTTAAAACAGGATTTATAAACAACGACCAGACCTCCACCTCTACCCGATGATCTAGGAACATTAAAACCGTCACAATCCAAGGGTACCAGCTGACTACCTGAATGACCAGGTGATTCCATCTTCCCTGATGGCGCGGGCATACTCCAAGATGACAGTGCCAGGATTCATCAGGCTCAGATAGTGAAAGAGTGGTTCAGGGAGCATGAGACATTATTTTCACACATGGATTGGCCACCACAGAGTCCAGACCTTAACCCCATTGAGAATCTTTGGGATGTGCTGGAGAAGGCTTTGTGCAGCGGTCAGACTCTACCTTCATCAATGCAAGATCTTGGTGAAACATGAATGCAACTCTGGATGGAGATAAAACTGGTGACGCTGCAGAAGCTTATTGAAACAACGCCACAGCATGTGTGTCGTAATCAAAGCTAAAGGAAGTTCAAAGAAATATTGGAATGTGTGAACCTTTTTTTTGGCCAGGCAGTGCATGATCCAGTCAGACTGGAGATCGTGTGTGTGCATCGGTTTTACCTCACAGGGTCTTCTCTCTCTGCCACCCACATGGCTAACACACAGTCAGAACACACACTTTTACTTTGAAGTTCTCTTTGAAGCTCAGGTAGGTGTGTGAAGGAGATAGATATACACACACACACTCCAACTCCTCACAACAAGTTTCATGCATCTGCATTGGACTTCTGCCCCTATCCCCACCACACACACACCTCCCCCACGACCTGTTTCCAAAGCAACATGCATCAGACTCTAAATATAAACAGAAAACAGATGCCTTTTTTTCTTAAATGAAAGTTTAACGTTTAAAAGGTTTGTATCGATAAAAGTATCCCTCACGTGTGTGTGTGAATCAGAAATCTGAGGTTTTTTTTCCATCCATCTAAAGGTGTAAAAATGTATTTTACCTTAAGCTCCGCTCCCTACGTCTGTGATTATGGCTGGAAGCAACGCCTCTCCTTCATGAACACACACGTCCAGCCGGCCAACAGAGCCTAAAAAGTCTGCCGTAAGCTAGGCTAAATAAATCTATTATTTAGTCTGGCAATGCTCCATTGACGGCTCTCGGTCGTGGGGCAGGTTCTACTGATGTCTTTCATGCTACTGGACAATGAACAAAGTGACGTACTTACCACAACGGAATGTCGGTAAACGAGGCGGTCCGCTGTTGAAGAAGGCGACAACACAGCATTTTTTCTAAACAAAGGACTTAAATACATCCATTTGCTCCTGATTCTAATAAAGCCCAAGTCCAAATAGTCCAAAACTGATGTAAAAGCTGTTTCAAATGAGCCGTCGGCATCTTGTTTCAGATGACTAGAGGGCCCTGATTGATCCACAAAGTGAACCAATCACAGCGCTTTATAGGATTGAAGCCCCTGTAGAGAGCTCTGATTGGCCCGCCAGAATGCTGCTAGGGGCTGTGAAGGTTCCAATGGAGCATTCCTAGACCAAACTTTGCAAAGCAAGACTTTGGTCAAGTTCACTAGGCTAGAGTAATTCCTGAAAAGGTGAAAATTCAAATTCAAAGATACTTTATTAATCCCAGAGGGAAATTAGAGTTTCAGTACACACAATTCTGAGATCAGACTACACACATAGACTCATGACAAGAATTGGTGACTGTGGTCATTCGCAACCCGAGTCGCAGGCTAGTGTAGTTCCTGAAAGGGTGAAAATTCTGGAGCTTCTAAAGCTTGGTTTATGCTTGACACATTTACTTTCCGCTTGGTGATGTGACTCGCGGATGGAACGCGCTTCACAACTTGCAGCATTTATGGTCCATGCGGCTTGTCTCTGCGGTGAGCCAATATTCTCCCAAACTGTAGGGGGCAGCATGGAGCTCTACAGCATGCATCCAACACTACACCATAGTAGAAGTAAAAATTACTGTTGTTTACAACATGGCATTCCAGCATTTTTTAACAGCGTCCTCGTCTTTTCCGACAGTGCGAGCTATTTCTCTCCAAGAATTATTAACAACTTGTTGATCACGGTGATCTCTGAGAGCTGAATCATACAAATGTCTGTATTTACAAACCTCTGCCATACTAGTTCTTGCCAGTACGCCATGTTTTCCGCATCCGACCGTCCGCTGGTTAGAAATTTTCCTAAGTGCGCGTTGCGGAAATTTTGGGCCGTGCGGAGGCGCGGTGGAGGGCCGTGGTTGTTAAAATGCCGCAATTTCGGCGCACAGAGCCGTGCGAACCTCGCGGACACGTCAAGCATAAACCAACCTTAAGACAGAACTGTCCTCCAATGAAGCAGACTGGTGTTGAGTTCTCTGTTGGTCTTCATCCCTGCAGTTCCTCAGCACGCTGTTCGCTCCTCTCAACTTCATCATGGAGAAGGTGGAGAGCATCCTGCCGTCCAGCCTCTGGCACCAACTCACACGCATCTGACCTGGATCTACGGCACCACAATCTGAACCTCGACCAGCACCACACACGGACATAAACAGCTGAACTGAAACCCACAACACTGCGTTGCACCACACGGACACGCCTTTGTGCCAAGAATAATTTAACCCAGTTCAAACCAAACAGGAGACAAAGGGACACACAGGACCGGTTTGGACCTTATGGACTTTTGTTTGGGGGGCGGTTCAGTTGTTTAAAGCTGTTCTTTTGTTGTTAAAAAAAAAAGGTGATCAGTTGCCATCATTAAAAAGCTCAAATGAAAAAAAAAATACAGTTAAAGGACTTTTTGTGTATCTCTGCAAGTTTGCATCTTGATGCTGTTTTCTTTCAGACATCTGCTTGTAACATCTGGAGCTTCAGGTACAACTGTTCCAGGCCCACGTCCCACACCAGAGGGCTGGTCCTACAAGCAGGTTAGGTGAAAACAAGAGCACTCCTTCCAGTGACTCCGTTGTTCTGCTGAGGGACTTAAAGGCTCATGTGGGCAACGACAGCAAGACCTGGGGTGGAGGAGTTTTAATCCTGGGGTCTTGTTCACAAGTGAGGTAGATCGATAGGTGTAATGGTGCTGCGTCTGCAGTGATGCGGGCGTTGTACCCATCAGTCGTGGTGAAGAGAGAAGGCAAAGCTCTTGTTTTACTGGTTGGTCTACGTTCCTACCCTCACCTACTCACAAGGTAGGTGACCAAAAGAACGAGATTGTGGATACAAGCAGCCAAAATGAGTTTTCACCGCAGAGTGGCTGGGCTCTCCCTAAGAGATAGGGTGAGAAGCTCGGTCATCCGGGAGGGGCTCGGAGTAGATCCACTGCTCCTCCACATTGAGAGGAGCCAGTTGAGGTGGCTCGAATATCTGATTAGGATGCCTTCTAGACACCTCCCTGGTGAGGTTTTCCAAGCATGTCCAACTGGGGGGAGACTCGAAGGGTTGGAACACATGTCTCTCGGCTAGCCAGGGAACACCTTGGGAATACCCTGGAGGAGCCGGCCCAAGTGGCTGGAGAGAGGGAAGTCTGGACTTCTTTGCTTAGGCTGCTGCCATCGTGACCCGAGCCTGGATGGATGGATGGATCATCAGCAGGATCAAGTTAGATCAGGATCACTTTCCATTGTTATGCTGTTTTCCCAGTCCCAATGCAAGACTAATACATGATGGTAAACAGGGTCAAACGCTACACTGAGCTCCACCAGGTCCAGTAGAAACACCAGAGCTGTTTCTGTGTCAGTAGCCTGGACCGGCGTAACTGCTTTTCAGCCAGACTCTTTCAAGAAGTTCCTGAACATTTTCACAGCAAAGTGGACTGTGTGGACTTTCACCTCTGCACCAGCTGCTGGCTCAGGTTATGTTAGGCCTGGTCTAGACAAAGACATGGTTTGGAGTTATAACAGGACTTTTCTGCAGTTACATGAAAGGTGAGCTCCAGGAGCACCGGTAAAAAGGAGCAATGCTCACACACAGTTCCCGTTCCAACCATGTGAGCTCAAATAGAGGCAGACATCCAGGAGGGTCAAGGCTGTCCCCTCGCCTCTTTGGTCGTCACCATCAGGAACAAACCCGTTAAACAGGAGTGTGACAGATGTGATTTATTTACATTTCTGCAGCCATCAACCTGAAACAGATCAGTCCGAGTGTGTAGCAGGAAGGAAAAGAGCAGGCAGCCATGTTGGGAGAAACCGATGATCCCTAGAAATCAGAAGCTCGTGTATCACATGTGACGATTTACGGGGTTCATGCTGACCGACACAATAACTGCTGCTGAAACAAAAAAACATTCAGAAAAGAACAGATTCACACGTTTTAGGGTATGAAATTTCTAACTTTGTCTTTAGACTGCACAGGAACCACGAGAAGGTCTAGTTAGAAGTTAGGGTAGGACCTCATCTTCAGCCGTTCATCTCGTCCACAGTTATAATGGATTGTTCTGTCTCGAGTTCTTCAGTAGGTCTGATATCTGATGAGGTGGAGAATTAAACAGCAAGAGCTGGTGTCTCTAACGCTGAGGAGTTCAGCTCTAAATGTGTCCGCTGTGACTTGTCCCAGTAGGACGGCAGCTCTGTGGCTCAGGAGGACAGGTGTAGAGGTGGTCAGTGGCATCACGTATGGCCCTTACATGTGTGCACATCCACCTGCTGGTGGCAGTCTTGGCAGCGGACAGCGCAGCACCAGTGGAACTTGCACTCACACTTAAAGGTTCGGCTGACTCGAGATGTGTCATAGCCTCGGCCGCAGCACATCACCTCGCATCCGTCCACCCCGCGGGACGTCCGGCTGCACAGCCTTCCTCCGGTGCCCATCGACCCTGCAGGGAGTCAGAGCATCAGAACCTGTCTAATCACAACCCACCCCGAAACACAGTCTCACTTAGAAATGAACAACAGAGTTCAGCCACACAAGAACGACGAGATTCAGGGGAGGTAGATTAGATAGACATGAAATTAGACGAGGAAAAATGCACAAATGAAACAAGATATTTATGAAAACTGATAAAACATTAGAGGTGAGAGATAAATGAAGAGACTAGAGATGCGACTGACTAATCAATAAATCATCAAATACTTCTGAAACGGTTAACCTGATTACTGACAAAAGACTGGAACCAGCTCGTTGAAACCATCCTAGATATTATAGGATCATTACTGTCTGGATGCTGCTGAAAATCAGCTGATGCGATCATGTCATCACATCAACCTGTTGGCAGTTTGTCCCGCTAGAATAGTCTTACAGGTTATCAGGATCCAACGGGATCAGAGTATGGAGTTCCTGCCAGGAGGTGGAGATGAGCCAGAGGAGGTGGGTGAGCGAGGGAAAGATGAGAGACTGATGATAGAAACCTTCAGCCTGACTGCTCACACTTCATCAGCTGCTCGTTTCATAGGAGACATCCGTTACACACACACATGCAAGATGAGTGAGTTTGTGGAGATCAACTGAGAATATCCTGATAGAACAGCACAAGTCCATAGAACTAGTGAATCCACCCCACTCACCCATCCATTCATCCTGACATACCCATGGTAGGGTGATGAGTTATAAAGTCCAGGAGGAAAACTCAAACCAGCTGACTCTTTATGATGATGAGGAGGATCATCTCTACCCAGAAGCCCACCACCATCTTGTCCTTAAAGCCTCATTCACACCGAATGCGTTCCGGGTTCTGTATGGCTTCCACGCAGATCCACACCAACTCCGGTGTGCAGAGGTGGATGCAGAGCTCCAGAAAGTTTCAGCATGGAGTCTATTTTTAGAGCAGGGTATCCGCGGGTCCTTAAAAAGTCTTAAATTAGCATTTCCAAATTTAAGGTCTTGAAAATCCTTAAAAATGACAAATAATCCTTAAATCCAGTTTCCAAAGGTCTTAAATTACCAAAGAACCAAAAAAACAAGATTATTTTATTTCTATAAAAATTTTCGTGAATTTCTAGTTGGTGTTCAGCATTTGTTGTGTATGATGTTGGCGTAAGCGGAACCGTACACATTCAGTTGGTTGTGAAAGGGGGCTGTTTTTAGATGAGCACATTAGCTGGTTAAGCTAGTGGGAGTTTGCGCCATGGGGAAGTGCAAGTTTAATGGTAACTGGATGGCTAATCCCACATTCACGACGTGGTTAGCACCGGCCCCAGGCAATAGCTGGGAATTATAGCTTAAATTTAATTTTAAAAATAGCTTAAATTTGGTCAAAGTTGCCTTAAAAAGGTCTTAAAAAGTCTTAAATTTGGCTCCCTTAAACCTGCAGATACCCTGTAGAGGACACTGCATGCAGATCGTCATGAAGTTGAAGAAATGACTTGAGCCAGACAGGAAGTTAGACGTGTTTCAGTAAGGTGCTTATATATTTTAAAATTAAACCTGTGTGGCGTTATTTCTGCTGGCTTTTTATTTTTATAGTCAAATCAGTGTTTGCTGGTTCACGTTATTTTTACAGGCATGTTTTACACGTATTAAGATTTCTAATTATTTGGAGCTGTTGTAGGAGCAGATATCTGGAGATGTTCAGCTTATGAACCACAGTCAGTGTGGATGTCCATCTGTAGGCTTCATGGAAACCAGTCGGTGTGAAACAGGCTTAATGTAGGAAGCTCAATCCAAATGCTGATATCTGGGAACTTGCCCTTTTAGTCACAGTCCAAATCCCATGAGGGTGTATCGGACAGACCAGTCATTCAGGAGCTGTACCTCAGAGCCCATCCACTTCTTTACCAGAATCCACCAGAGCAAAGCTCTCACTGATGCAGACAAGTTCTGATCCATTGGCCCATCTACCATCTCGAACTACGTTGCTCAAGGGACAGCCGTTTCCAATTCAACTCAGAGTTGGAGGGTCTGAGTCTCTTCCCAGCTGCTTCATACTTGGCTGGGAACTGCCTCAGTTCACTCTGAAGGTCGTGACCCCACCACCTCATCAGCAAAAACAGAGACACAACTTCCTCCCCATCACTACTGTTCAGGTGTGTTGTAGTTAGAGCTGGTCCGAACAGCACATTCATACACGCCGCTTCTAAACTGCTTATAAACGGTGTAATCACAAGCTGGTGTTTATGAATGTGGTTGTAACTCTTGTACAGCCATGTTTAACCCCTTAACTGACTGGAGATTACTTTACACGCAACTGTGTTAATAGACTGTTGAAATTCAAGCAGCACGAAAAATGCTTTAACATTTTAAACTGCTTTCTAACTGGTTTCAGTGGTTCTTTAGCCAGAAACTTGACCAGCTTCACATTGGACAGCACTCTGTTGCCCTCTGCTGACCAGAAAAAGCACTAAACACTTTTGTGGTTCAGGTAGAAATGCTAGTGGGAGGGGTCTACCTGCTTTATGACTAGGGATGTCCCGATCAGGTTTTTTACCCTCGAGTCCGAGTCATTTGATTTTGAGAATCTGCCAATACCGAGTCCCGATCCGATACTTTCGATACATTAAAAATAGAAAAGGAAGAAACAGTTCCAGAATGTTCCTTGTTTTTTATTTAATTACATTTTTATTTTAATTTTTAACAACATATCACTTCTGTGAGGTAGCTTGAATAATCAAGTAATAAATAACATAAATTCTTCACTTTTGGACTTTATTGCAAATATAAAAAGTCTAATATAAAAACAGATAGCACTTCAACTTAAAATACCTGGCAGGGGTCTATTTTGCCTCGGGCCCCAAAATGCTTAGATATGCCCCTGGGCATGGGACGGAGTTCTGAGGATGATCTGAATTGTATCAACTATATAAATACTACATGCTGATAAATTATTGCTTTATACAGGTACAAACGTGTAATGGGATCAATCTACCTACATTTTATTTTTTTAGAACTTTGTTTTGTTTTCTTGGTTTTTATTTTCCTGTCTTCCTGTCCTGTCTGTCTCTAACCTTCCTGCATCTCCCAGTCCTCCAGAAAAACTCCTGCCTGGTTCCTTCTTTTTCACCTCACAAGTAACTTTTTAACAAGCAGATCGAATTGATCTATTGACCACAAAAAAAGCGGAGTCTGCGCTGCCCGGCTGCGCCAGTGACGAGCGCTGCAGCTCGAGCGCGTCCACACATCATGCTCAAATTCAGACAGAACTTACCAGAGAGAAAATGAATGGACAGGAATGACTGTGTGTTAATTATATTTTTTTGGTGACGCCACTTAGAAACTTAGAAAATGTTACTGTGGCCGTGTGCAGAACGCAGCTGGAGTTCATGAATGATCAGCGGTCTGCCTGCTGCTCTCTGCATCTCTGCCCAAAAGAATCCCTGCTACGCTGAGTCCATATAAATAATATAATAAAGGTAGAAAGGGCATCAGGGGAGCCTGACAACCTTTAAGGAGAACCAAGTTGCTTGCCTGTAATTTGAACCCAGTATCCGAGTCCGGATCGGGAAGTAAAGCCCGAGTCCCGATCAGTCTGAAACCACGTGATCGGGGCCGATTTCATCATGTGATCAGATGGGGACATCCCTAGTTATGACCACAGTTGTTTACTGTGCTGATAGCTAATATAAAGGCTAGCAGTTAGCTTTTTCAGTTCACCGTCTGTCAATAAAAAACAAAAGAAGAAAAAGAAATTCGCTTTTTGGGTGGCATCACGGTGGATCCTGGAAGTAATTGTAACAGAATAATGTATTTGGAGATTACGAAAAGAGCTAAAACCAGAGAGAACATCGACACGGTCTGTTCTAGTTTGAAGAAGCTGAAGGACGCAACACAATCACAGACTGATGATGACCTGGCTTTGTTGCTACTGGATTTGTATGTAATGTGTTTTAGTCCAAAAGGTTTTTACTTTGTGGCCTATTTAGTATCAATTGGCTTGTGTTACTGTTAGCTCATAGATAGCACTAGCTAAAGTAGGCTGCAGCAGGGTTGTTGAAGACGGTGTAATTCCACTTTAAACCAGTAGGAGGGAGAAGCAGGAAACTAGCGTTGCTTAAAGACATCTGTCAGCAGGAAGATAAACCGGTGATCTTCTAGAGAAACTCGCATGCATTCATCTTAATTACATTAATATGTTTATGGTCTGTGGTGATAAGAAAAGAAAGTATCAGATAGAAACTTTGTACGACCAGATACTGAACCAGGAGATCCTTATCAAGATTTCCTAGAAATTATGTCATGTTTAACAAGCCGACTCCTCTAAAGACACGAAGCAAATTTATTTTCACAACTTTTTATCTTGTGTGTGTGTGTGCGTGTGCGTGCGCGAGTGGCCTGCACCTCCTGTACAATTTCAGAAACACTAAACTTCAGTACAAACTGGCTCAGAGCACTTTCTGAAGCACAGCTCTGGAATTTGCTCATGTTTACCTTCTGCTTCTCTCTGCAAGCTCACTGCCTCTGCACCTCTCCAGGTAATATGCCTGGACATGACCTAAAGCTCCACCCTTCCCTGGCAATGAGCCCGCCTGTCCGTCATCCAAGGTATGCTGGTGCTGCTACAGGGGCGACATCACAACCAGAATCCTCCTTACGGACCCGGCTCTCCCCATGTCTGCTTATTGAATTAAGATGAGGGGGCGCCGAGAGATGAGTTTAGCACCTGAGTCTCGCTGGAGCCGAGGGAAATTGATTTCACACTCGGAAGGCGTGCAGGGGATGTCTCACCATGTCTGTGGCTCTGGGACCTGTGTGCTTCCCAGTGTCTGTGAGAATAGATCCAGAGCAGGGTTCCAGGGTGCTTGCTTGCATGTCTCTAAGATGTTTCCCAAAGTGTGAAAGGGAGGATCACAGAAAGTGTGTGAAGATTGATTGGACTTTGCAGGATGTGATTCCATGTACAGTACATGCCAGGGATGAGGGATCATGTATACCCCCATGTGTGTC